AGGGTCACTATGAGTCAGAATCAACTCAGTGACAAGGGGTTGGGGGTGGTGCATCTAACAAGCAAAGCCAGTTGCTGTCAAGTCAGCTCTGACTCATGGTGATCCCATGGGTGTCAGACTAGAAGTGTGCGCCATAGGGTTTTCAATGGCTGATTATTTTGGAAGTAGATCGTCAGGCCTTTCTTCTGAGGTGCCTCTGGGTGGACTCAAACCTCCAACCTTTCAGTTGGCAGCCAGGCATATACACTTGCATTTACAGAGTGGGGATCAGACTGTATGTACATACTTTGTAAAACCCAGTTGCTCCTTCTGCTCAAACAGTGTGTTGCTAACAGCCCCCTGCTGTCAGAGGCAGTGCCCTTCCTATACAGCGTTTGCAGGTACTGGACAGTGTTCCTGGGGACTGTGAAGTTGACACCAAAAGGAATGGCAGAAGGCCCGTCAAGCTGCAGTTTGGGAGTGGCAGAGAGCGCCTCAGGAGAGCGCCACAGCTGCGTCTTTCCGCCCCTGTGAAAACTGAAAGCTCTTGCATACCCAGAGGACCGAGGAGCCATCCCAAGCCATGTGGTAAGTCAGTAAGCCCACGATGAAGAAATGCCACACAAGGACTTTCCATCTGGGAGGTGGAACAGAAGCAGAGAGCAGTAATTTCTGTTTTCAAAGTGTGGTTCAAGTACCCCAGATTTGGGGAAGTCACCCCACAAAGCAATCAATAAAAATATAACGCTTCTCATACAGAATAGTGCAATTTAGCAAACCGAGAGACCCAAGTTATAGCTTTCTGCACAGGAGACCAGATGGTCTCTGGTTCAGCTGCAGGCCTGCCTCCCACCCAGCCTTCACAGGGCAGCAGTGGCCACAGCTGAGTGCAATCAGGAACTCCCCTGCCCTTCCCAAGGCTGCTGGGGGATTTCGCTCCCCTGCCCCCACGTGAGGGCCACATCTCGGCCTGGGGCCCCATTTCCCTAACTCAGTCGCTTTACATAATGAAGGTGAAAGTTGGTGAGTGCAGAAATGTCCGCAGAGGGGAGGGGAAGGGGAAGGAAAGTGGAGGCGAAAGAACACTGTCCCTGTCATCCACGTCTGCCCTCCTCCTCCACAGTCCTGGGGACAATCAGAAGGGGAGAGGGTTGTGGGCACTGAGGAAATAGCCTTGTACCCTCACGTGCCCGGAGTGTGATTTAGATCTTTGCCCCTGTATTCCACTAGGCAGCCAGGTGGGGCCTGAGGGTCCAGGGCCTGTTACCTCTGCAGTCTCATCTGGGATGCCGTAGAAGCTGCCGGGCCAGAGCAGAATCTAACGATAGCCTGGCACGCCATGGTCCCTGCAGGTCTGAGGGGCACCCTGATCCACCCAAGATGCTGAGTAGGCCACGCAGGTCCTCCACCACCCAGCAGCTGCAGACCAGGGACCCCGTTAGTGCTGGACGAAGGAGATGGTGTTCCCGCTAGCCGAGGGACAAGGCCAAAGCCCAAGGAGCAGACAGTGGCGGGGCTGGGGCTGCTGGTCCCCAGGGCTGTTTGTAGGAGGCGGCCCTGAATCTCTACCTCTGCTGGGTAGTTCATCCTCTGGGCACTGCTGGGCCTTTTTAGTGCTGTCTGAGCTAACTGCCTACCACCCGCCCGTCAGTTTGATGTACCGTGATGGCTTGTATGTTGCTGTGATGCCAGAAGCTATGCCACCATATTTCAAATACCAGCAGGGCCACCCAGGGTGGACAGGTTTCAGTGGAGCTTTCAGACTAAGATTAGGCAGAAAGGCCTGGTAATCTACTTCCAAAATGTAACCAATGAAAACCCTATGGATGGCAACAGAACATGATCAGATACAGTGCTGGAAGATGAGCCCCCTAGGTTGGAAAGCACTACAGAGTAGCTGCAACATCAGTGGGAGAGGCAACGCTTCGTTCCGTTACACGCACGGTCTCTGAGTCAGAGATGACAGAACAGCAAAGCCAACTGCAACGTGGCTGCTCTAACAGCGCGTACGTGTTCTGCACATTAAAGCTTTGTCATTCTGAAACACTTCATGGGAAGAAATTAAATTAGAATACAACTCCACTCACGTTATCATACAAACTTACATGTCACTTAAAGAAAATGAAACACATTCTCTTACTAAAGCCGCATGTAGATACACCCAAGTTTATTCCAGTTTTCATGTGTTCTGTAAAAATATCATGTTTTATGTGCGTCATGAAAGAGACTGGCTGATAGACTAACGGGCTGACCTGGTAGCCTACCCATTGTTAACAATTTTGTTTCTATGAGTAAATGAGTGCTGATTTCCAGACTACAGATACACCAAAAGCAAACCCAACCCGTCACTGCGAGTCGATTCTGACTCATAGTGACCCCATAGGACACGGAAGAACCGCCTTGTAGGGTTTCCTAGGCTGTCATCTTGACGGGAGCAGATCACACCAGGTCTTTTCTCCCATGGAGCAGCTGGTGGGTTTGAACCACCAACCTTAAACCACTGTGCCCGAGGGGTCCTCAATTACACGTATATAAACCCATTATTTGGAGCCCTGGTGGTGCAGTGGTTAGGAGCTCAGCTGCTCACCGAAAGGTGCGCAGTTCAAATCCACCAGCTGCTCCTTCGAAACCCTATGGGGCAGCTCTATTCTGTCCTATAGGGTTGCTATGAGTCAGAATTGAGTTGACCGCAACGGGTTAAACCCATTATTGTCCCAGCCTGAGCCTCTTCAAGTAAACTGCAACCGGTTGCAACTCGACCTGAAAGTGCTTGTTGCTGGCTGCAACAGCTTCGGGAGGGCTGTTCTGTAACGTCCTTTATCAGAGCTTCTTGAAGAACCCCTGTGGTTGTGCACGCCTCAGCTCCGGTGGTTTCTTACCGGCCAGTTTAAAAGTCATTTTGCTAGCAAGCTCTGAGAAGAGCAGGGTGGTTTTTGTAAACCTGTGTAAGGAAGGCCTGGCCAGGAAAAATACAGTGCGTACACAAATCTTTTCTTTGCTTCAATGGTTCTTTCTCTTCACTCTCTTAGGGGGTCACCTGGTTCAATCTTAGACTTTAGAAACGTTCTTGAGTAAAATCACCTAACTGACCCCAGCAGATGAAATCTGCTATTGCATCAGTCATGAACAGCCAGTGAGAACCCTGTTGAACCAGCCAGTTCAGCAACTCCCTAAAATGCAGCTAGATTGGGGAGACCTCTAAGTACAGAGCCCTGGTGGTGCAGCGGTTAAGCTAACGGAAAGGCTGGCAGTTCAAAACCGCCAGTCGCTAGGAGAGAGAAAGATGTGGCAGTCTGCTTCCATAAAGATTTATCGTGCAGTAGACCCTGTGGGGCAGTTCAACTCTTATTAAGGAAGTAAGCTTAATACTTAGTTCCCAGAAGATTAGGTGTGGTTTTAATGAGCTCATTCCAGGGGGGATGGGGGCAGGCAGAAGGCTTGGTTCTGCGTTTCTATTTTTAAAATGCTTATAAAATCATCCTTTGGTGTGCAAAGGTGACGATGAGGGAGAGATGGTTACAATGTGAGCCTACAACCTGCCCAACCTGGTTTCCTTCAGGCTAAAGGAGTGAGAGACTTCAGTTTCAGCTGAGACTGGGATTACCCACCTTTGAGCCAGTGCCAAATTCCACGGAGACCTGTCCTGGCCCAGTCGCCTGAGCTTCTCCCCAGCGTCAGTGCGGGCTGGTTCTGCCCACAGAGCTGCAGGGCGGGTCTGGGCTGCGCTCCCTCCAAGACCCGACGGGCCAAGTCCCCGAGGAAGGCTGTCTGTTTTTCAAGGGGATGCTAAATGCCCTGTGTCATTCACATCATTCACGGCACAGCAATCACCTAGCTCTAGTGTTTTAAATAAATTCGGGGCTGACTGACTACTGAGTCTGTCAGTCCTCACCATTATATTTGCTAATTGCCCTAGTTCCTCAATTTATTGTCTGGCTCAGGTAACTGTCAATTTGTTGTCATCCTCATTCCTTCTGTACCAAAAACAAAGACATTATGGGGTTTGAGATCCTACAGCAAAGACTTGCTTCTCACCTCACTAGCCTTATGCCCACCAGCAATTCTTACATGACTTCCTTGGATATGCATAATACATCCAGTCCTTCAATCTCCACAGAAACACGCAGAGATCTCCAGAGTGAGTCCCCGGCAGGCTCAAAACTGCGGGAGGGAGAACGGGCTTGGGTACAACACAGGGCATGGCCGGGACCTGGGTACTGCAGAGAACATGACCTGGACCTGGGTAGTGCACAGGGCATGACCTGGACCTGGGTACCGCAGAGAACATGACCTGGACCTGGGTACTGCAGAGGGCATGACCTGGACCTGGGTACCGCAGAGAACATGACCTGGACCGGGGTACCGCAGAGAACATGACCTGGACCTGGGTAGTGCACAGGGCATGACCTGGACCTGGGCACGCTGTGCAGGAATCGGGGTTCCGCCTGGTATGCCAACGTTCCATGGGTGAGACAGAGACGCCGCCTGCCCTACGTTATATGTCCCGTGGTGAGACAGAGACGCCGCCTGCCCTACGTGCTCCCGGCACTCTTGGCAAAATGCCCGGCTCAGGGGCGGCTGCAACTTGCTGTGTACCGGGAATGTCCCGGAGAGTAGATTTCTAGGACAGAGGTGCAGTTTCCCTACGGTTCTTTTCCGGCCCCACCTGAACAAAAAACAAAAAAACTGAAAAAGGAAGAACACTGCAAAGGAACTTTGATCTTGTTCCCAACCACGCCGCAGCTGCGATCAGGACAAGTACACTCTGTAATGGGGGTGGTGAGACAAAATAACAAATTCCAGGGAAGACTGCAAGAACAAAACCAGCCTGTATACTGGCTGGATGCCCCCCCGCAACCCCTTCCCGGTGGTCGACCCCACACGTTCTGGGCCCACACTGCTGCAGCCTGCTCCAGACTTTTGCCAAGAAGTCCGCTCGCGGACCACGGATCCTGGCACTCATTGTTTGTGGACCTGATCGGAAACCTGGGCAGAGACGGTCCGCATGACCCACAATCGGATCAACAGACGCGGTTCCGAGAACAGACGCCAACTGCCCCCCGAGCGCTGCTGTCCAGGCCGGTGGGCGCCGGGGGAGGCGCTTCCCAGCCCGGCGGGGGCGGGGGCCGGGTGTCTTCATCCTCCTTGGCCCCCGCAGGGCGGGCCCTCCGCGCCAGGGCCGGGGATACCGGAGTAGCGCTGAGGGCGCAGGCAGATTAGGAAGTAGGGTCTTTCTTCGAACAGGCGAGGACGGTGTGGGGACGCGCGTTCGCCCTCTTTCCAACTCCGCCATTAGGGCGCCCTCTACCACCAGGTTTTCCGGTCCCCAGGTCCGGGGTAAAACTCATCTGGTGTCCCAGGCCCTTCGACCAGGGCCACAGCGGCTCTCACTGGCCGCAGTCGGGGTGGGGGCAGCTCTTCTCCCCGAAACCTCCAGACAGTGTGGTAATTCCCGCCTCCCGCGCTCCGCACCCCCAGCGCGGCGGGCCGCTCCTCCCCAGTCCCCGCCTTCCACTCCGCCCGGCGCTCAGAGGGCAGACGGGAGGGGGCCGGAATTTCCCAGCGCGGGGGCTCAGGCTTCCCCCGTAAGCGAGCGGTCTCTTTCTGTTTACCGAGGAAAGGGGAAATGGAAAACACGGGGAGGCGGCGGCTAGTGTCTGCTGCGCCGCCCCTCGGCGGGCCCAGACGCCGTGAGTCAGGGCCGGACGGCGGGCCCGCGCTCACTCGTCCGCTACCGTCCGGAGCGCGCGCCACGCTCTGGGGCTGTCGCCCTGGCTCCCACTGCTGTCCCCGCCGGACCTCGGTTCCCCGGCGCGCCCCGCTCCGAAGAGCCGGCCACCAGCTGCGCACCGAGCCGTCGGAGGGCCGCGGCGGGAGCGCTTGGCCCGCTGGGGCGCGCTAAGGCGGCAGGTAACCCGCGTTCTGGGGCTCGGGGTTTGTTTCTGGTCGCGCCCCTCTTCGGTGCCTCCGGGGTTCCCGCTCTGAAATGGAGGCTGCCCCCGCAGAGGGGTGAGCTCCGGGGCGAGGGGAGCTGGGGGCGCAGTGGCGTTTACGTCCTCCGCGCGGGTCTCCTGCTCTAGCCAGACACCGCTGGAAAGCACCTTGCGCAAGGGTCGCACGGGGTGCAAACTCGCGACTCCTCCCCCTTCCTCCTCCTTCCCGGATCCCCCGCGCCCGGGCGGTGCTGGAGCAGTGCTGGCCGGGGCGGTGAGCGGGGACGCAAGCACCCGCTGGCACTGCACCTCCCGCCGCGGACGCCTGCCGGGACAGCCGCGCTCTCCTGCCGAGCCCCGGGTGAGTGAACGCCGGGACCGGGGGACCCGGCTGCAGCCCTCCCGCCTCACAATGAACGCATTGACCGTTTACAAGCCCTCGAAGGCTCTCTTGGCATGGAGGAGCGGGAAGAAGGGAGTGGGGTTACCGGTGCAGAGACCTCGAATGGCTGAAAATTAATTTTAGGCTCGTAACCTGGACTCTATTCTGGGTGATAGCAGGACATGAAACCTGAGCTTTTGGTCTCAGAAAGAGTATTAGGAATTTCACAGAAGTTGTTTCCCGGCAGTCATGTGATATCAGGGCTCCAAAATTCTTGTAGTTCTGGGCGGAGAACGATGCTTACAAGGAAGCCGCCGCGTGCAAAGGGAATGACCTGGGAATTAACAGGGAAAGGCCCGGGAGCTGTCAGTAAGTGAAAGAGAGATTGTGGTGCGTGTCCTTTTCATCTTTGCAAAGACGCATTTTGGTCCAGAACAAAGGACTGCTCTTGATAAAAAACAGGGAAAGAAACGTTAATGCAGTTTCTTGACAAGCCTGTCTCCTGAGTCGTATGTATTTGTCAAGCATCATCCGGTTCTAGGCACCTCGCAGTCTTTCCGATGGAATGAGTTTTGTGTGCAGAGCATTCTGGCAGACGGACTTGAAGGAATGTGGCATATAAGGAAAATTGGGTACTTGAGGCGTCTAGAAGTTTTGAAGCACAGTGGCCGTGCTTCTTGACAACTTCCACGGATCATTTGGGGGCTTTGGAAAACAGAACTATAATAAGTGATATGCCCCGAGGAGCCATGCAGTATTTTGGCAGAGAAATCTTTTAAATGGGAAGTAACACCAAGTGTATTCATCCTTTGTTAGGCGAAGCTTGTGCCTGTATTCTTGGCCATTTTCCTTCACATTTGCCAGAAACCCTCAACTTTTGTTTATGTACAAGGAGATAGCTGGGAAGATTGCATTAACATTTAGGAGAAGGCATTCCTCTTCATTTGTTGCTGATTTCTGAAATGATTCAAAGCAAATGATTTTGACTGTATTGGCACGCTAGTCCTTAAAAAGTAGGAAATTTATTACAAACTCTGTGCTTTGGGGGAGGACAATCGTCCTATTCTAAAGGTCTTTATTGCTAAACTAGAATATCTTCATGGTCTACACTTTTTCTAGATGGATACTGATCGTGAATAACTCAGAACATTAGCATATTGTCTCCTTAATTAGGCTGGAAACTGCTGCGGCATTTTGCCGGGGCCTTTTTAGCAGGCGACCGGTCACGGGGCTGCTGGGGAGCATTGATTTGGGCAAGGAGCCCACAGTTGCTAGGGAAGTATTGCAGGCGCTGAGGCAGTCTCTCCTTCAAACACTCCTCTGTGTCTTCTCCACCCCCACGCCCTCAGCCACAGCTCCCAGGGGTGTGTAGTGTCTTTAATCTCAGGTTTTACATATAAACGCTTGAGACTTTCTGCAGGATTCAAAAACCCAAACCTGTCTTTCCTCTCTGGATCAGCTGACTGAATTGTAAACTGCGTGGAATTTATCCTCCCCCTTACCTGAGCTGGGTTAGTACCGGGCACTTTATTTTCTCTCAAGTTGTCCATTTGACAAGTGAGTGCAGGAGGCCGGGGTCTTCCCAGCCAGTGGGGTTCTAAATTAAGCTGTTTTTGTTTTAACTTCTGTTTTTCCAGTCTAAATTCGCAAGTGGAAACTGCAGCTAAACGCCTTGCCGAAACCAGTCTAAGATTCTTCCATGAACCCAACCAGTTCCTCTCATAACTCAACAGACTCCAAGAGCCTGAATCATAAGTCCTGTTCAGACGCAGCTGTAGTGATTAACAGCCATCAAAGCTTTTCATAGATTTCTGCCTTTTCTTTTTTTCTTTGTCTCTCGTTGTAGATCTCATCTTTATAACCTCCCTGTGAAGAAGCAGGGGGAATAGGTGGCCACATCCCATTTGCAGATAAGGAAGGAGGCCTAATGCAGTATCTGCAAAGCTGGGAATCTGACTTCTTTTTAATGCACATAATTGTTTGTTGCTGTCAGTTAGAACTGTGCTCCATAGGGTGTTCTTGCTGTGACCTTTTGGAAGCAGATTGCCAGTTCTTTCTTCTGAGACGAGTTTGAACACCAACCTTTCAGCTAGTGGAAGGCTCAACCATTCGCATTACCCAGAAACTCCTTATGCGTATAAGAGCAGCTCCAAGTTACACAGCTAATTACTCTGCACCAGACACCGCTCCCAGCACCTTAAGCACGTGACCTCATTTAATCCTCGTAGCCACCCTGTGAGGTCCGCACAGTTACTGCTTCCATTTTACAGATCGGAAGACTGAGTACAGAGAGGTTAATGTATTGATTTTGCTCCCAGGCAGTTTGCTTCCAAGTCGGTGGTCTCAGCCAGGATGCTAGACTGCTCTCCTCAGACATCATTTGTATGTTGGAAAATGACTGTCAGGCAAGTTAATGACGACGCTGACTTGCGTGGTGGTTTTGTCAAATGAAATTCACTCTGAGGCACATCACTGGGTTGTGCGTGCAGGTGGCCCTGGGGGAGCATTTCCTGGGGCTTTGAACCAAGTTGTCAGGTTGACCGGAGGCCGTCATGGGTTTTTGCCCTGTCATATGTGTTAAGAGCTTGTGATTTTAAGAATGTGAAACTTCAGAGGGAGGTTCTGCTTTCAGGGGCACAGTGGTTGGAGTAGAAAGACGGGCTTCGAAATTCTCTTAGATCCTTTTCTCTTTTCTCAAATGGAAATGTTCTAAGATCCTGAGTAACTGTGTCTCTTTTTACCTTTTTCTCATTTACAAACTCCCAAGTGTGATGCTTGATTTATAGGTAAGAGCTGAAACAGTGCTGGCCAGGGAAGTTAGTTGGCCTTACCCGGGTCTCGTTCACGATGGATCTGATTTTTCTGGTTTCTTTGGCTACCACAGCATCTACAGGCTCATTTATCTACATGCTGGACCTTCCAGATGGGAGCTTTGTGCTTTGGAAGAATTCTCGTCTCGGGAGGGGACAGCTGATTCACAGGTGAAATGAATCATCTCCTCTGTCACCCTATGTGCTGGCAGAGCTAGGATTGGAGATTTGCTGTGTAATTCATTCGCATCAGACTTCTTCCTGAAGCTTGAGCTATCAGCATGAAATGTTCTTTGATTAAAGTGTTTCATTTGCCAAGATAGCTCCTAAATTTGGTAAAGTGGTTTTCTGTCTTTAAAGCCACCCTAAGTCTGGAAGCTGTAGTGATCTAGAAGGGAAGATGGCCACCTTAGGATCATGTAGGGTTGGAAACTATGAAGATTCCTAAACTGCTCTCTGTTTGTGTGTACGTTCAGGGAAGTCTGTTCTCACCGAGTCAGTGAGTGGTGAGTCTGCTGTCAGGCTCACATCTCTCCTCGGCAAAGCAAGCGGGCCGCACTTAAGGTCACCTGGGGTCCCGTTTGACTCTTCGCTGCCTGTAAACTGGAAATCACACTCACTGTTGATCTAAAGCCCTCCCTTTGTAAGCAGAGGTGTATTGAAGCCTTTTCCTGACCCCTCCGTGGCAGTTTCCAATGGATCTCAATGCTAGCATGAGACAACCCAGTCAGATAAATATTTGTGTTTTCTTTCACAGACCCTCGAGACCCCACAAGAGTTATGGAGTACATGAGCACTGGAAGTGACCACAAGGAAGAAATCGATCTATTAATCCAACACTTCAACGTGTCCGATGTAATCGACATGATGGAAAACCTCTACACGAGCGAGGAGCCAGCTGTGTTTGACCCCGGTCTGATGGCTGTGTGTCCGTGTGCCAACGAAAACGAGGAGCGCTCCGAGTCTCTGCTGCTCGGGGCCCAGGAGGTGCCCTGGCTGTCGTCCGTCAGATATGGCACGGTGGAGGATTTGCTTGCTTTTGCAAACCGTATATCCAATACCGCAAAGCATTTTTATGGACACCGACCACAAGAATCTGGAATTTTATTAAATATGGTACGTTATTTTCTGATCCATTGAGTGCTGTGTCTTTGGTTTTTACTACAGCAGCTTCCTTTAATGCATTTGAACTTGGTTTAGACTGGCTACCAGGTGTGATTTTAAACATGTAATGTCTGAAAGAATCACCTCCACCTTAAAAAGATTCAAGAAAGCGTCTTTGGGTATGATTTTTAAAAAACGTGATATCTCAAAGAATCACCTCCATGTTAAAGATTCAAGAAAAAGTCTTCATTGCAAATTCCGTTAAAAAATAGTGACCGTATCTTAGTAGTATTTCTACAAATAGGTAATTAAGAAGAATGTATTTTAACTTACTGGTTCATTAAGAAGTTCATTTATCCTTGAGGCTGAAGAGAAAGGCTTAATGAGAATCCTTTGTCTCTAACTGATAATTCTGAAGGCTGAATTCTTTTCTCTTCTACTCTTAAAATGATAAATGGCTAAATTTAGTTTTTGCAGAAATGTAGTTTCTAGGCAGTAAATAGCTACCCACAGATTCACTCTATTTAATAGGCAAAGTATGAATGACACATGATATATTTGCTTAGTCATCCTGAGTATGTCATCCAAATATTGTGGAAACATTTGTTGCCACAAAAATAGATCAGGTCGTTTGTTTAGGTGTGCCTGGGACTGGGTCAGGTTCTTAGTATGTCATAGGTGAACGCAGGTGCTGGCTAAATGTGATCCAATTTTTTTTTTTTTTTTAAAGAGCAGTTTGCAAAGGAGTAGGTGGTAACTTGCAAAACATGCGTATTGCCGTAAGTAACTCCATTCCTTGGGTGAGTCTAACTGGCAGAATGGCTGCTGTGGCGGGGAGAGCAGGCCAGTGCTGAAGGAGAACAGAGTCTGGACAAATTCAGTCCTTAATTGTTTTGGTTTGTCTTTTCATACCACGTTCATTTAATGAAGAACAACAGGATGATTTAGGTCAGCTCTGTGGTGAATCGATTGTTTTGTTAGAAGCGAGTTGTATCCAGCTGTGGATCACCGTGAAGCAAGATTACATTTGCACAGTTGTGTGACTTGGTTTGTTGTTTTGTTAGAAGCCAGTTGTATCCAGCTGTGGATCACTGTGAAGCAAGATTACATTTGCACAGTTGTGTGACTCGGTTTGGTGTGGACGTACCAGACTGTACTTAGTAGTTGACTAACCCCGCTTTACCTGGGGAGTACTGCTTCCTCTTACGCAGGGGAAGTCGTAATGTGAACTAGGAACAATGCCTGCAGTGAGTCCTGATTGTATTAGCTGAAGTATAGCAGGATGACTCTGGTCCAGAATAATGTGTGTCTCTAATGGGAAGTAGGGGTCTGGGTGGCGTAAACTGTTAACATGCTGGGCTGCTAACCGAAAGCTTGGAGGTTCAAGTCCATCCAGAGGCACCTGGGAAGAAAGGTCTGGCGATCTACTTCCGAGATAAGGAGTACAAAGAAATAGCCTCCTGAAGTTTGAGCAGTAGGGCCAGAAAAACTAAGGCAGAAAAAGAGAAAAACTGAGTCATAAAAAGCCAGTGAAGACTTTGTCAGCAAAGGGTGAGTGTACAACATTGTCCGTACAGCCAGAGGGCCTGTGCTCCCCAAATGAACAAATGTGATTAAGGAGCAAATTTAAGAATAGGTCGTATCGTAAAGGCAGGGGGCTTTGAAACTTGAAACGAGATTCTTACTTTAAAGATGATCAACATGGTAACATATAAAGCAAGAAGATTTAACAGAATGAGAGAAGGACGTTCGTATCTGCAGGGAGGTAGAATTTGCCTCCCTAGACAAATCAGTCCGGTGATTGATGGCTCTGGGCACCATGGTTGACTTTGCTGTCATTGACCTTGAAGGTCAGATCGATCCCTATGTCTGTTGGTAACCTCTGTGTTTCGGCAGGAATGCCATAGGAGACGTGACTTGCCATCCCTGGTCATAGCCAATCTGAGACCTAACAATGGTGAAGGAGGCAGGGCTGGCTTTTGTCTCACTTCCGCCTGCTTTTCTGTGTCTGTCCTCACAGGATTCTATCATTAGAGCCATCCTGTGTTCAATGCTTTTCTCTTCCCATCGTCCACTACCCGCCACCCTATCAAAACTTTTCTCTTCCGGGCTTCATCTGCTGCTCTGTGTTTCTCTGCTTTACAAAATGACAGCTAATCATCTACCAGACTGATGGATTTAGTTTATATGGTACATCTTGAGAAGGAGGGGAAACTGTCAGTCAAGTATTCGTTTATTCATTTACTACAGGTGTTTTGCGCATCAGCCATGTATCAGGTACTATCCCAAGAGCTAAAGACAGTCAGTCCCACTAGGAGTTTATCACCTAGTGAGTGCATGAGGCATGTAAACAGGCAATTACAATACAGTGGGTCCTTGCCTGACTGGGACTACGCCCTAATTGCTATGGGAACGCTCCAACAGGATACCTCACAGAGCCACGAGGATGGGGAGGAGAGGGGAGAATGTCTGCAGAGGCTTCCAAGAGAAATGGATGCGTAAGCTGAGGCCTGCAGCACTGAGCTGGAGTAGCCAGATGAGAGGACTGGTGAGTGAGGAGTCTTCCAGATGAAGGGAGGACCGTGTGCCAAGGCCCAGAGGCATAGTGAGCGTGGCGTGTTCTGGGAAACCAGCAACCGCAGTGCCCATGAAGTTGATTAAACAGGGCGGAGGGCCAGGAACTACAAAAATACCCTGACGTGTGGGTGCGTTGAGTGGTGGTCTGTGTGTGTGTTTGCATGTGTGTGCCAGTGTCCTGGAAATATTTCTTAAAGATTCCACCAACATCCAGCAAGACCCAGAGAAGAAACGCCAGGATACTAACCTAGCTGTTGCTTTGTGTGAGAGTGCCACAGGTTCTTTATGTTCTAGTCTGCTTCATACCTGAGCTGGGCACAAAGAACCTCAAATGGATTGCGAACACTCCACTCTTTGGTGGCTCTCTGGGAAGCTGAAGGGCCCCCATCAAAGGGCCCATTTGTAGATGCTAAATGCTACTCTTCAGGGTTAGTCATGGAGTCATAGCTTCTCAGGGCTGAAGGAACCTTCAAGGTCCTTGAGTCCAGCCCTCTGTCTGATGAGTGAATCACTCCATTTGTCATCCCCAAAAACTGGTGGAGCTTTTTGTTCTGTGCTTGAATGTCTCCTGTGATGAGAAATGCAGCGCGTCCTGGGGCATTTAATTTCATATTTAGCCAATTCTGACTGTAGGAAAGTTCTTCCTTATACAGAAGTAAAATGTGTCTTTGACTGTCCTCAGTACTAGTTCTTCTTTTTGGCCATAAAAAGGTATATACGATGAGTAGTGGTTAAAACTGCAGGCCTGTGGGTTAAAGAGCCTAGGCATGTATCTCAGCTCTGAGGGGGATTAACTGTGTGACCCCGGATGCTGCTTTTACCCTCCTATGCCTCAGTTTACTCATCTGTAAAATGGGTAACCTCATACCACTTACTCCGTAGGAACATATGATGAATGCATGTGACCTGTTTACACATAGTGTTTAATGAATGTAGGCCATCCTGGTGGCAGCTGTCATGTACGATGGGTACTTCCCTTCCTCATGACAGTCCTTCCAGTTTTGTAAAAATCTCACGTGCCCACGATTCTCTCTCTCCTTCCACAAACGTGTCTGACTGTGTCTGCTCCTCTTGTACTGCAGCGTTACCCTTCCTTGTCCCCTGCAGTGCCCTCTGAGCTCAGACCGGTGGCAGCGCACAGAACTTGAATGTGGCAGCCTGCTTGTTGTGTGCCCAGCGGAGCAGGACAGAACTCGCCTTGCCTTTGTTCTAGATAATGTGCTTCTTTTTGGGAAGCTCAGGATCACGTCGGTGTCACAGCAGCCATGTCGTACAGGTCACTTAGCGAACTTACTGAAGGACCTGTGGCCTTTTTTCCCGTGTTGCTCCGGGGGCTGGTACGGCTTAGTAGAGATGACAGCAGTCTAGGTGAGGAAACAGAAAGCGTGCGATAACAACCATGCTTAAAGATGACTTCGAGAAATCGAAGAAGTTGGCAAAAATAATCAGCAGAGAGTTCCATAAGATTATCTGCCTGGGCTTCTAGAAAGCAGAAAAAACTTATCCCAAATCCAAATAGGAAGGGGACTGCCGCGAGTCGGCATCGACAACAACAGCCAGGCTAGGGGAAGGCAAGGTCAGGACTTCCCAGAACTGCAGGCTGTACGGGCAAGTCTTCGGGCCTCGCAGCCAGGGAGCCGCGCAGAACTTCAGGGTGTTCTGAAGAGCATCCCCCGAATGAGGGAGGCTGTAAAACAGGGTTCAAGGAGCTTTCAATATTTGATCTCAGGAGGAGAAGGCTAAGGTGTGCTCAGTGACATTGTTGGTGTGTGCCTCGTGGTGACCCTGTAGGACAGAGGGGAACGGCCCCATAGGGTTTCCTAGGCTGAAATCTTTACCAAAGCTGAACACCAGCTCGTTTCTCCTCCAAGTGGCTGGTGAGCTGGAACCACTGACCTTTTGGTTAGCAGCTGAGTGCTTAACTGCTGTGCCACCAGGGCTCCTTCAACCCGAGAAACCAAACCCGCTGTCGTGGAGTCGATTCTGTCTCATAGCGACCTTACAGGACAGAGGAGAACTGCCCCATAGGGTTTCCAAGGAGCAGCTGGTGGATTCCAACTGCCGACCTTTTGGTGAGCAGCTGAGCTCTTAACCACCGCGCCACTAGGGTTTCCAGGGCTCCTTCAGTGACATGTAAGTATAGGTTTTTAATAACTGGTTTTGATACTGGCTCAGCTTTAATTACAGCCTTCTGGAAGATAAAAGGCTCTCACCCAAAGAAAGGAGGTACAGCTTTGGGGTCAGAATCCTGGGCTGGGATCCTGGCTCTGCCACTAGCAAGTTACTTAACCTCTTGAAGCCAGTTTCCTCGTCTGTAAAATGGAGGTAAAGATAGCACTTGCCTCCTGGATTGTTGTGAAACTTCGATGAGATAATGTGTTAAGGTCCTGAGCACAGTGCCTGGCCCGTAATCAGTACTCCATATGTGGCTGCTACCGTTATCTTTTGTCCTCCCGGACAGAGTAAGACCACACTGGCTCAAACTGAGGAGCCCTGGTGGCGCGGTGGTTAAGAGCGTGGCCGCTCACCAAAAGGTCAGCAGTTCAAATCCACCAGCTGCTTCTTGGAAACCCTATGGGGCAGTTCTGCTGTGTCCTGTAGGGTCGCTATAAGTCAGAATCAACTCGACGGCAATGAGTTTTTTTGTTTGGGGTCGAATTGGAGTGTAAGAAATTGAGGTTGGACAAAAGTGAAAACGTCCATGAAGGCTCAAAATTAAACACTGCAGTGGGTAACTGGAGAGTCTGGTGAAATTGTATCTGTAAATATTTAATAAGAGGAAGCAATAAGCAAGTGCACTTGAGTGCAATAATTATGGTTCTGTCGAAATATGGAAACAGACTCAATTCACATGTTCTTAGCATGGTGCAGAAAGACACCTCCAGCTACTAGAGAAGATACACTTCTTGAAAGGAGGTCATGTTTCAAACACGGCAAGACCACGGTCTGTATTTATTCCTAGTCCCTAGGGCCCCGTGGAAGGCCCCATGTGGAAGAAGCACTCAGTAAATATTTAATTTCTTAACTTAGTGACTGCCCTTCTCGGTATTGGAGTTATTCTCTGCTTCATTCCCTGACTGACTGTGAGCGCGTCTGTTTGTGGATGTGTCGCTAAAATTAGCAGTTGAGGCTATTGAATGAATAACCCTTACGAGTACTAGAAATATTCCTGTAACGCTGGCCAGAGGGGAGAGTCTGCTGCCTCTGCAGATGAATCAGGTATTCACTGCCTTCCCTCCTGCTGCATGTGGGAGTTTGTTACATCCTCCTGGAGCTTCTTCTGTACTTGAAATAACATAATATTACTTCGATGGTTTCATAATTCCTGATATAATCCCAAGTCAAAATATTCACTGATGACATTTAGGAAGAACTGAATTTTTGAGACTCTTTGTCCCTTGAAAGAATACTTTAAATATTTTTTAGTCATATATCCTGTGGACTGCCATGTTAATCAGGAGACCCTGGGTGGTGCAAACAGTGAAGCTCTCAGCTGCTAACTGAAAGGTTGGCGGTTCGAACCCACCCAGAGGCACCACAAAAGAAAGGCCTGGCGATCTGCTTCCGAAAACCCACACGGAACGCTGTTTACTCTGCAACATGCGGAGTTGCCATGAGTTGGAATCAACTCTACCACAGCTGGCTTACCAGATTAATCTGTTTTTAATTTTGATTGTAATTCCCTTTTTTTCTCTTTAAAAATTGAGATACTGTTTATATCCAGTAAAATACACAAGTCTTAAATATCCAATTGGAGGAGCCTTGACCAGTGCAGGCACCCTTGCGGCCCGTGTTGCTATCGAGATGTATCTCTTAATTTTTAAGTCGGCTGGGTTTGCAGCCCCCTGTTGGAGGTGTGGACTTGCTCGGGACTTCTCGGTGGCCAGGAATCGTCTACACCTTCTTCGTGGCCCCCTCCGCAGCCCTAAACACAGTGCCTCACATGTATTATGCACTCAGTAAATAGCAGATGAGTAAGTAGTTGGGAAAGAGTTCTGCCCTTACTCCGTGTATGCAGCCTTGTGCTCCTAGCCCTGGCATAACACGTTGTTTTCCAGAACCCGCCATGATCACCAGTTACTTTGCACGCTCTGTGTCGGCATTATCTGTGAGTCATAGCTATGTGGCTTGACAGGTTCGCTCATTTTAATGAGACACAAATCAACGTGCAGGCACGGTTTATATTTATGCAATCTTTATTTTCAGCCTTTTGCTCACAGCAGCCATGCTTCTCAGATAAATAACTTTTAAAGTTCTATTTGGAAATTAATTACCCAGGAGTAGATGGAAATGTGATCAGATCTGACCACGGGCCTGTTTCTGTTCCATGCTTTCTCTGTCTTGCTGAAGCTGTAAATAGAGCCCCTGGACAGTGTTACGGTGACACCCTGTGACACTTAGTTCTAGTACTGCACGTAGAAATGCATCTAAAATCACCAGTTTCCAGTGTGTGGATCTTAGAGAACAACAGCTTTGCTGAAATTCTCACCCTCCCCGTTTATTTTGTTGTAGGTCATCAGCCCCCAGAATGGACGCTATCAAATAGACTCTGATGTGCTTCTCATCCCTTGGAAGCTGACTTACAGGAATATTGGCTCTGATTTCATTCCTCGGGGGGCCTTTGGAAAAGTGTACTTAGCCCAAGATATAAAGACGAAGAAAAGAATGGCATGTAAACTGGTAAGTCCTTCATAGCTAGGCAGTGCGCTTTGACTGTTGGACATTATGACTTTTGCTTGTTTGTTTGTTTATATTATTCCAGGGTTGTTCTCCTCTGACTGGCTCCTATCTAAGGTGCCCTGTGCAGAAGCTTCTGTTTTCATAGATTTGCTTGCTACCTACTGCTGTTTGGCCTCTAACCAGTAAATCAGTTACCCTTGAGTTAATTTCAACTCATGGTGATCCCATGTGTGTCAGAGTAGAGCTGTGCTCCATGGGGTTGTCAGTGGCTGATTTTTTGGAAGTAGATCACCAGGCCTTTCTTCGGAGGTGCTTCTAGGTGGACTCAAACCTCCAGCCTTTTGATTAGCGGCTGAGCACCTTAACCATTTGCACCACCCAAAGATTCCATTCTGCCCCTAAGTCTCTGCTCAAGTGTGCCGTTGATTTTCATCTAGCCTCCACCATGTTAAAAAAGGAGGTGTTAGTTTTTTTAGCGCTGTCTTGGATAATGTCGTCACTCCCGGGGGGTGGGGTGGGGGTGGAGGAGAGCTATCACCCAGTGCAAGAGCGTATCTAGGTGCTGCTCCTTTAATCATACCCACTGAAGAGGGGGCCAGGCCAGAAAGCAGAAGCTCGGAAATCTGCAAGGTTTCTCAAGACTACCGATTTAAAGGGATGAATTTAAATTGATCAATTATTGAAAAGACTCCATCTCTTCTTATTAAAAAATTACTGCTGAGATATCACCACTTTGGAAAACTGGCAGTATCTACCAGATTGAACATTCACACACTGTGTGACCCAGCAATTCCGCTCTTGTAAATAAGTATACACCCAACAGAAGTGGGTACACATGCTTACCAAAAGCTATGTACTAGAATGTTCATAGCAGCACTGTCTGTGATAGTTCCAAACCGGGAACTTCCCAAATGCTGAAGTATGGTGTACCTACACAATAGAATACGGTACAGCAAAGAGGTCGAGTGACTTACAAGTATAATAACGTAGATGAATCGCGAACCATTAGGAAGAGCGAAAGAAACCACACACCAAATAGGACCTGCTGTAGGATTTCCTGGAGGCTTCCTGGCACTGTGGTTAAGAGCTTGGCTGCTTAGCAAAAGGTTGGCTGTTCGAATGCACCAGCAGCACCTTGGAAGCCCTATGGAGCAGTTCTACTCTGTCCTATAGGGTCATTATGAGTCGGAATTGACTCGACGGCAGCGGGTTTGTTTTTTCGTTTTTGTCGGTTTTCATGTATGTAAAGTACACAAACAGGCAAACAAATCCATGCTATTAGAAGTCAGGACAGTGGGCACCCTTGGGAAGTAGTGACTGGAAGAGGTCTAAAGGGGGCTTCCGGGATGCCGATACAATTCCATTTCTTGATCTAGATGGTGGTTATGTGAGTGTGTTCAGTTGATAATCCACTGAGTTTTACACTTACCATTTTTATACTTTTATGTATGTCTGCTTTACTTCAATTAAATTTTTTAAAGAGCAATAAAATAAAAACTCACTTTTGATTTAACAAAAAATATTAATTGCTGAATGTCATATTTCACTCTCTCTTACCATAATTAAAACAGCGACAATATGTTGGTTTTATATATTCTTTTATAAAAAAATTGCTAGAGTACCTGTAATTAGAAAGAAGAAATGGAGTTATAGTCAGCCATTTGAAGCTTGCAGTTAGAGGATACATGTTTAAATTGCTTAAAAGATCAAGAGCTGTTTTGTACTGCCAAAGTGTCCTCTTTTTCAGTTTTACCACAAAAAGCTTTGGAAAATAGCTTTGTGGGTTTATTTTCCTCGTAGTACTTATATTTAATTTTTTTGGATGTATTAAAATACATTTCCTTTGGCTGTGTGAGATCATATAGAAAACCTTAATAACAAATTAATCACTTACTATCTTGGAAGACACTCAGTAATAAGGAGTTACTACATTTCACTTTTTTAAGACATAAGGCACTATGAGCTATTGTTTACTGTTCATTAAGGACATCTTTGCTAATGTTTGCTGGGTCTATTCATATTTTAGAACCAATTTTGTTGCTGACAGATTTAGATTCAGAAGTGACACTGTTTCATTTTATCGTTTGGAAATAATCTGAAAACATTATTTTTGTGTGTGTGTGTGAAAAATGAAATAATTCTTGCCTGTTCTCCCCTCCTCCCAGCCCCAGTAACCACCTATCTTCTTTTGCTTCAGTGGACTTGCTCACCCTAGATATTTTATATAAGGGGAATCAAACAGTATTTGTCCTTTCATGTCTAGCTTGTTTCACTGAACATAAATGCTTTCAAGGTTCGTCCATCTGGTCACATGTATCATTTCTCTTTAAGGCTGAGTAATACTCCATCATTTGTATATACCACGTTTTGTTTATCCATTTATCTATTGATGGATGTATTTAATTTTTAAGCTGTATTTTTTCTTCAAAAAGAAAAACAGAGATGATTTTAAAAAACTCAAATAGATTCAAAAGGATGTAGGCTGAAAAATCAGACTCCCTTCCTTGAGGTGCTGCTGTTAATGTTTCTTGTGTATCCTTCAAGAAAACTTCTATGAGTATATGTGCATATATTTTTAATTTTTTTTACAAATGGGAACATGCAATATGTACTTCTGCATCTTGCTTTTTTCACCTGTCACTGTGTTTTGGAGACATTTCTGTATCTGTCTGCACTTAAAGATCTGCTTTCTGTAATCGCTGTCTGGTATGACATGGTATGGACGGCCAGGGTTTATTTTAAATGCTTTGTTAGAGTGTTAACTGTGGAACCAAAGACTTTATATTGTCTCATAACAAGTTGAAATATTGAAAATACAAACTAAGGTCTATGTCTGTAATAGGTGGGAAATGATCACTTCTTTGATTCTATCATGAATAATTTAAAAACCTTGGTTGGATTTCTGTACTGTATGAAAATAAAATTTTATTTTTTTTTTATTTTCTTCCTTAGAATTTTATACCTACAGTATACGCATAAACGTAAAGACGTGTAAAGGCAGGTCTGAGTAAACATTTATAATTCTGCAGTACAATGTAACATAGGTCACAGTATCCTTGAGAGTGTTTCTGTGGCTTTCGGTTTGTGTGTTGATCTACACTGTACTTTTTTCCATCATCTGGAGGTTGTTTCAACTCTTCCTCGTGTTTTTCTGTTCTAGATCCCCGTAGATCAGTTTAAGCCTTCAGATGTTGAAATCCAAGCTTGCTTCCGGCACGAGAATATCGCTGAGCTGTATGGCGCTGTCCTCTGGGGTGACACTGTCCATCTCTTTATGGAAGCAGGCGAGGGAGGGTCTGTTCTGGAGAAGGTGGAGAGCTGTGGACCAATGAGAGAATTTGAAATTATCTGGGTGACAAAGCATGTTCTCAAGGGACTTGATTTTCTACACTCAAAGAAAGTCATTCATCATGATATTAAGCGTGAGTTTGCTTTGGATGTACACCTTTTTGGCTTAAGAGACCAGTTAGATGGGAGGAAAATGGGCTGAGAGAGGAGGCAGACGGGTTCCTCCCATCAGTCTGTAGACCCCCCAGTGGCAGGAGTAACAGCTTCTGCCATATAAGTTCCCCCTTCCACCCCTGCGCTCTGGAAGCGTGTTTAAGAATCAAGCTGTGTCTCTAGAACTTTCAAGGTATAAGGAGGGTGATGACCCAGTCGTCAAAAAGATAGAGCCACACATCTGTTAAGTACTGCCTATGCCTTTATTAACAGTGCTTTTAAAATTTAATGTTTCTTAAACATACACACACAGTCACGTATTTTTGAGAAACAAATAGCTTTTAATTTTGGAGACTTGTATGGCAATAGTCAGTCCACTAGACAATCCTTCGCAGGCTGCTTTCTGGGGGTGGTAAATGGTGAGGAAATATTCGAGAGAGACCCACTGTGAATCCTAATGGCTGTAGCTAAATTGGACTAGCAGAACTTCTGCTTCAGAAAACAAACAGAAAACAGGTGTTTTAATTGTTTTAGAAGAGGGGCTTGGTAATAGTATGCTTACATCTTAGAATTTGAAACTCAAGCTCTTGAGTGGTCTTTGTGGCTGCCCCTGTTTGTACTGATGTTGGCTGAATCCTGGACAGATGTGAAAGGATTTTCACCTGACCTCTAACGAGGCTTCAGTGTCCTCTTTTGACTATAATGCACTCATCTCAGTGGGGAAAACACTTCAAGTCTGTTCCGACTTGGAACTCATTATTATTTTAGATAATGTTTTCATTTCATCAATGTGTATATATACAGTTTTGTACTAAGATAAAATTTTCCCTCTCCTTATAGCTAGCAACATTGTTTTCATGTCCACGAAAGCTGTTTTGGTGGATTTTGGCCTAAGCGTTCAAATGACTGAAGATACCTATTTTCCTAAAGACCTCCGAGGGACAGAGGTAAGTATAGTCATGTGAAGGTGGTTACTAGCCTATTAAAAACAAAGAAGAAAATAGTTCTAGAATTACGGTGGGGAAGAAGGTTAAAGAAGGGGAGGAGAACCCTTGTATTAAATCATTGTTGTCATTGTTAGCATATTGAATGAGCACTTGCTATGTGCCAGGTTCTAAGTCTAGCATTTTGAGTGAATTACATTATTTAATGCTCTCAACAACCCTATTGTGGGTAAATATTATTATGGTAGGCAAATACTGTTGAAGTGAGCTTGGAGAGGTTAAAATTTGTGCCCAGAGTTACTCAGCTAGAGACAGATCTGACATTTGAACTCAGTTCTGAGTCTAAAGTCCAAGTTTTGACTCTTATGTAACTTTTTAATATAACTAATATGTTAACATATGTTACTCCTGTAATGAATATTACTAAGTTCTGGCCCCATCCCACCCTTGATTATCAGGGTCATTAATAATATATATTGTGGACCTACAACATTTCAGGAGTATTTTTAATCCTAGAGATACTGTACCATATTTTTACACAAATAATGCTTGCCTTCTACATTTGTTTGCAAATTGCTGCCTCCCCCCACGAGGTATTTTCATAAGCACTGCTATGCCAATGTTTTTTTACATGTTGCTGTAAAAAAAAATTAGCATGGCATGCTTATGAAAATACATCAGAGCGAGGAGGGAGCAGTTAGCAAACAAACGTAGAAAGCTCGTGTTATTTGCATAAAAATACGGTAATAAACCTCAAGTAGTGAGCACTAACTAGACATAAATTGGCTATAATATTTAACTCATTTGTGAAGCCAAAAAAAACTATTCCTGAATCACAATGGGATTCAGAGAATTGTATTCGTGGACTTTCACATAACATAATTAATTTGGCATTCAAATGATTAGATGGAATAATTGATTCATCTAGCACATGTTTATTAAGCATCTACTATGTGGCAGGGCCTGTTGTGGGCACCAGGGATGAAGCGTCGAGCAGAACTCACAAGGACTTACTCTCAGTGGTACTTTAGTGGCTTCCCCTCTGGTGGAGAGAACCTCCTTTTAATTTACCGAAATTATTAAAACATCAGTTGCTTATTTTACAGTAGGTTATGGTAGGTTGGATGCAGATGGGAAGGTAATAGCCATTGCTGTCGAGTGGATTCTGACTCCTGGTGACCCCATAAGACAGAGTAGAACTGTCCCATAGGGTTTCCAAGGCTGTAATCTTTATGGAAGCAGACTACCACGTCTTTCTCCCGTGGAGCGGCTGGTGGGTTCAAACCGCCAACGACCTTTTGGTTAGCAACCAAGCACTTACACCACTGGGAAAGTAAATGGTTATAAACACTGCTTTTCTGGCCCCCTCTCACTCCCGTGGGATGTTTCAAAGCCTCCCAGCTGCTGTCTGTCAGCTGTGCCTATAGGAAATAAAGAGAGGGCGCTCGGTTGCACCTTTTGCCTCAAGGTTAACCAGGTGAGGTCAGTCTTGGTACTTAACCAAATGATGTCCCCTTAGTCCAGTTAGTATGTACGTTGCACTGAACTGAGGTGAAGTGAGAAAAAAATTACCTTCATTTCAAACCAGGATGCTGTAAGCCTTTTCTTAACTGTCGAAGGAAAGACTCTTCAGAACTTTCAGAACAAACCCTCGTTTTTGCTGATATTACTACTTAAAGGTATTACTGGGAAATACTTGAGAGGATTCTTGATAGTCTTCTTTGAGCAGAATAATACTCAGAAGAGAAAACTGTAGACTTTTTTTTTTTTAAAGAATGTTTTAATCTCCAGATTTTAAGAAGACCTTGCCAAAGCACACATCTAATAAGACTTAATACTTATGACATGTTTTCGTTTAGCATATTTTGGCATTAGTCAGGAGTTTAGATATGTGACGTTCCACCCTTTTTCCTGGAGCCAGTTTGAGAAACAAACTATTTATGGTGTTAAAGATGGAAAATACCTTTCTCTTCCTGGCAGCATGATTAAATCGAACGTTTTGCAATGCTGGAGAAAGACACGTCCTTTCTGGGATTCTCTAGCTGAAAGAGAATGTGTGCTTGGGTGTGAAGTGATAACACAGCATTCACTCCCGAGTGGTATTTAGAGAAGTTATTTTCAGCAAATGCAAGTTGTTTTTTATGAACTGGCTAAACTGGCTTCTAAGGCTTGACTCCGTGTTTTTAGTTATAAACTCTCTTCTGTCTGTGTTTGCTGTCTCTTCGGTCCTCCATAGTTGAAGTGTATAGTAAGCAAGATTGCAGAGTCACCAAGGAACCTCTTAACAAGTTTGTTCTTACTCCTCATACTTAAAAAGCCAATAAAATTAGTCAAAGTGAACCCTTAAAAATTTGTTTTCTGTGAAGACTCGATCACTTGGCCGTTGCACAGCCATTGATGATTTTTGACCCCAGCAATGTAGCTCACAAAGGCAAATATTGAGCCAGCCATGCTACTTGCTCTTGTTCTGTCTGTCCCAGCAGACATACTCAGGATATTAGAAGCATATAACGTGTACAGTTAGTATGGCTTGTGTTTATAGTTTTCGAGTTGCATGGTACAGAGAATGAATGGTGGATGTCACGAATGAATTAGAATTACTTTTTAGCGTGGCCCTTTTTAAAAGGTCTTATTTTTCTTCAGAGTCTGTTTGGTCTTGCTTTACATAAGTTCACATGTAATGGTCACACACACACACGTACGCACAGTTCCGGCCCCTTTCTAATAAACACGTGGGGAGATGAAGCTCGGGATCTGATGGCTCAGTTCCCTTGCTGCAGTGTCCAAGCCTCAGAGATGGCACTCTCAGAGAGCCGCCAGCTGTCCGTCAGCCCCGGCTCCTGCCTGCAGTCAGCCAGCCTGCAGAGTTCTTGAACATCACGCCCTGCTGTTCCCTGCTCTGGCTCTACTGGCTTTTGGGGAACTTGAGGAAGCTCGGGGTGCCTGCCTGAGGGGCAGTAGTGAGGTTACAGGATTGGACAGGGCGCTGCCACCCATGGTGTTCCCCAAGGGTGCAGTCCCACGGCCCTCCAGCATTAGCACAGTGGATACTTGGCCTGCCCCTGCTTTATTGGGGGCTGGGGAGGAAACAGGCGTTCTCCATGGACAGTTAATAACACCCACGGCATTTATTTATTAAGTCTGTGATTGCATTAGTAAGAGCGTCCTCAGAGTCCAAGTACTGGCTTTTCTGCAGGGAAAGCTTGAGAACAAGGAGCTCTGGTCAGTGTTTTTGCTGAGAGAGAGAAAAAGAGAGAGGGAGCGAGTGCAGGAAAGCAGGCCAGCTGGGAAGTGGTGTAGGAAGGAGCTGGGCAGGGTGAGGATGAGGAAACTGGGCGATTTCCCCACTTTTTGCAAGCCAGTTCTTTACTTACTTACTCTGAAGTGAATTCCGGGAACACTAATGCCCCTCCTCCATATTCCAATGACACAGACAGTTTAAAACCTTCTTAAAGCTACATACTGATAATTAGGATATTAGCTACTATGTGTCTGTGACAGCTGTGTCACAAGTACAGCTTATCGGTCACCCGTATCTGTCCTCACTCTCTCTTTTAAGTTAGAAGCAAACTTGTATGAGAGAAACTATAAAACGAAGTTTACTTATTTACCATCTACTAATGAAACCAAATACTACTTAATACAATATTAATATGGCAGGTATTTTAATATGTAATGACCAGGCAACATGGTAGGTAGACATAAGAAGTAGTTCTTAGAAATGACTAATTAGGATCACTTTTACAACATTATACTTTAGTTTTTAAGTTCTCTTCCAAGAGATTGGTCGTAATACCTCTAGACCCCTGCCACCTTTTATTTACTGCAGATAGAGCTTTGACAGTTTACTGGCAAGGATTAGGTGAAGTATTCTTGTTGTGCCATTTAAATATGAAAGGAACTGGCGTTCTAGTTAAAAAATTAACTACCTCCAAAACCAAACCCACTGCCATCGAGTCGATTCCAACTCGTAGTGAACCTACAGGACAGAGTAGAACTGCCCCACAGGGTTTCCAAGACCGTAAATCTTCACGGAAGCAGACTGCTACGTCTTTCTCCCTTAGAGCAGCTGATGGGTTTGAACCACCAAAAGTTTGGTTAGCAGCTGAGTGCTTTAACCACTGCACCACCAGGGCTCCTCCGTTAACTACTTCAGATCAGTGCCTTACGGAAATCGGAGGAGTGGAAATCCCAGGAGGCTTCTTGATTGCAGGCCCCCTTTGCTGCCTGATCAACCTTGTGTTCAGGTTATGGCAAAAGATGTTCTTTACCAGGCTGCTCTGATACCTTCAGCCACAGCTGCTTGGATCCCAGAAAACGTCTGCATTGTTCTCCTTCGCTTAAGGGGATACAACAATGACATTCTCCACTGGAGGGGATGAAGTGCGCAATAAAGATGATAAAGGTGGATGCGCCGATTTCCCACACTGGGTGAGGGGAGTGGAAACCCAGACAGAGGAAGGGACTCAGCCTGCCTTTCCCCGCTTCTTTTTCAGATTTACATGAGCCCAGAGGTGATTCTCTGCAGGGGCCATTCAACCAAAGCAGACATCTACAGTCTGGGGGCCACGCTCATCCACATGCAGACGGGCACCCCGCCCTGGGTGAAGCGCTACCCTCGGTCAGCCTATCCCTCCTACCTGTACATTGTGAGTGGGGGCAAAGCAGGCGTGGGGCTGCGAGGGGGGAGTCCCACTTGGGCTGGGAGCTGTTTCACCTCCTATAACGTCCACAGCTGAATGGGATGATGGCGGAATAGTGATCGAGGAGAGGCAAGCAGGAGTTCTTCCCACGTGGAGGGAGGCCCCATTCTTCCAGAGAAGACATTGGTATTTTAGTGGGAACTTACATGTGCATTAGGCATAAATTACACACTGTTCCATTATAACCAGTTGCTGTCGAGTTGACTCTGACTCATGGCAACCCCATGTGTGTCAGAGTAGAGCTGTGCTCCGTAGGGTTTTCAATGGCTGGTTCTTCGGACGTAGATCTCCAGGCCTTTCTTCCGAGGTACCTGTGGGTGGACTCAAACCTCCAGCCTGTTGGTTAGCAGCCAAGTGTTAACGGTTTGCACTGCCCATACCGTGTAATGATAAAATGCCACTTAGTAGCATCAGAGTAACGTAAGTCTTTGAGCCAAGGAAGTTGTAAATGTGCTTTGAACGCTTTCCAAAAAGGATATTACATTATTGATCCCAGTCAGCCTGGCATGTAGATGGAACGTGCAACTCCTCTTTCACTGTTGAGAAATTCAAGAATGGATGCTTCTCCACTGTTGCCTAGCGACCTTGCAATATGAAGGGCCACTGTGGATATGTAAACACATAAAGTGGAAGCTGTCGCTGCTTATTCAGACCTGCTATTGTTAGTTGCCTTGCGTCAATTCTGACTCATGGCGACCCCGTGTGGACCTTACGTGTGCAGAGTAGAACAGCTCCGTAGGGCTTTCAAGGCTGTAACCTTTTGGAAGCAGATCACCAGGCCTACATTCTGAGGCACCTCTGGGTGGGCTTGAACCGCCAGCGTTTTTGGCTAGGAGTCTAGTGAGTAACTGTTTGCTCCAGCCAGGGATCCTGTCGTCAAACCTAGCTTGTATCTTTTACGAGTTTAAACTCAAAGATGGGTTTAAGTCGGTGTCCTTAGGAAATGAAAGGGCAGCTTGTCGAAGGATAGGAACTGGATTTACTGCAGGGGGTGTGGTGGGGAACATATGGCTTCCCAATGCGTTGTTACTAGAGTGTTTTCCTGTCGAGGGTATATTTCCATCCCACTGATGCTAGGGTGCTGGTCTACCAACAGATCCACAAGCAGGCACCTCCACTGGAAGACATTGCGGACGACTGCAGTCCCGGCATGAGAGAGCTGATAGAAGCGGCACTGGAGAGAAACCCCAACCACCGCCCCCAGGCCATGGACCTCCTGAAGCACGAAGCCCTGAATCCCCCAAGAGAGGACCAGCCGCGCTGCCAGAGTCTGGACTCTGCTCTCTTTGAGCGGAAGAGGCTGCTGAGCAGAAAGGAGCTGGAACTTCCTGAGAACATTGCTGGTAGGGTCATCCTGCTGTGGGCATCATTGCTTGCTTTGCTTTATCTTCCGTCTACCTCAAACCTGCAGGGTTTATGAAAGAACTTCAGAAGAATTTCTTGAGTGCCATAAGTTGTCGGAGAAATTTCAGCCGGGACAAAAGCATTTTATTTTAAACGGGCCAATTTCCCAGCAAATTCTAACAGGTTTTCAGTGTGAATGTAGTTCACGCAGTCCTGGAGGATTGCCTCTGGCTTGCTTTTTTGCAGCAGAGAGTATCTTTTGGTTTTAAAAACAAATCAACTGTGGTAGTTTTGCTGTTGGTGAAGTATGGGGTTCTTCTGAACTCAGTTATGGTAACCATTAGTGTCGTTCGTTGTAAACATCGTGGCACGGTTCTGCACAGATAAAACACTGAGTTTAAAGTCAGCTTGTATTTCTGTCTTCCTCTGCTTGAAGCTCTGCCAGCTGTGGAACTTTGCCATTTAGGAGAGTCAGTAAGCATTCCAGGAGCACTGACTATGCATAGGAGAACAGCTTCCATTTTTATCATCGATATCTGTGGCATTCTTAGCCCGTTTAGATCCAAAGCCAGATGTCAAGCCTGTAAGGCTTGTTCGCATTCCTCTGCTTCTTGTCTGACTTTTCTGTGTTAAAGAGAACCATCTGGGATGCTGGAAGATGTGCCAGGGTTTCTAAATAATTTCTTGTAGCTGTTGACTCTTTTATGAACTCTTTGGTATACGGCATATGATGTAAACTGGTCCATAGTGTTCAAAGAACCAGTCTTTGGTAAAACCAGAGCTTAGAGGCTATTGCATTAGGCCCCACAGTATTATTTCTTTGCAGGAGGAACAGATATTTATTCTTGGGCTTTTTCCCTGGATCTTTATTTTTTTCAATGTTGCCCTTTTTCAGATTCTTCATGCACAGGAAGCACGGAGGAGTCCGAGATGCTAAGGAGACAGCGTTCCCTCTACATAGACCTGGGAGCCCTGGCTGGCTACTTCAATCTTGTTCGGGGCCCACCCACACTAGAATATGGCTGACTGATGACTGCATTTCCTCTAAATTAAGATGCAGCCTTTATCTTCTGGAAGCTGATTCTGCTGACTCTACACAGAGACTCTGTACAGTGACGTGTGCTGTTAGCCACACGGTGTGGCTCCCGTGACCCACGAACGCCAGCTCCAAGCAGCCCCCGTGACCCACGAACGCCAGCTCCAAGCAGCCCCCGTGACCCACGAACGC